CTCGTTTCTGCTATTGACCCCTCTCTTTTTCCTTCACTTAATTATTTGCTCTCCTGACCCACTTTATTTATCCATCTAATATAGGGAGCCTCCCTTCTCATGAGCAAATGACTCTGGGCGTCGTACAAGAAAACTAAATAAAGGTTACGTTCATTATCATTAACCAAGATGAAAAGCATTGAAAACTAAAACAGGGAAATTAGGCAGAGGAGCCACTATATCAGTTGGCTGCCCTCTGGGGTCCCCAGGCCTGCTGGCATCTCTGGGCCTTGAGGGACCTTCAGGCGCTCAGGAGGCCCCAGACCCTCCTCCCTTTAGAGGGCAAGAGATTGCACAGTGCAGAGTCACAGCAGAAATGGCCGCCTCCCACCCAGGACTCACCCAACGGAGCTGCTTAGGTGGGGGGGACCTGTAACAGGCCCATCCCGTCAGATCTGGTGGGGCGGGCAGCCATGAAATTGAGGAAGGGTGACCCATCCAATCCTTCCGACCCGGGCCGGGTAGGGCTTTAAAGGCCAACAGCAGCTATTTGAGTGGGACTTTCCCCAATTTTACTTCCTTTCCTCTCATGTATTTCCTTTCTGCTTCTTCCTTTCCCGGGGAGGGTCTATGGCTGTGACGGCGCACCGGTGGGACGCGTGCCAGAAGGGGCACACAGAGCCATCTCTGTCGGTGCCCCGATCAGGTCCCCTGCGCATGCGCGCACGCCTCCCGCCACCCAGCTGATTGCCGGGTATCTGCCGTGCATGTGCGGGGAGCAAGGGGCGCGTGGGAGGCACATGCGCAGAGGTGCAGGTTGCGCACGCGGGGGTTGTGTGCACATGCACGGGGGGGCGGGGGAGGATTGCCCACACATTGCGTTATGGGCACACACGCACGCACTTTTGGCATGCGATGACGAAAGGTTGGCCATCAGTGATCTAAGGAGACCTTCCACCATGCAGGTCACAGTTGTCCCACAGGTGCTTTTTTCCCAGGAGGCAGCTGGACTTTCTGGTTTCTCTTTTTGAGGATGTCTCATTTTTCATCCCAGAAGCTTCTTCCGCTCTGACTGGATGGAGGGAAAGGGAAGGACGGATACTCCTTGCAGGCAGCTGGTCCTTTGCATCTTTTAGAGGGTCCTTGAGGCCACTTGGGGGTTTGTCTGTGTCCTCAGGGTCACCTGAGTGGTGCAAATGGGGGTGGAGCCTTTCTCAGGGGGAAAGAGTTTTAAGCTCAGAAACAATGAGCCAGACTGACAATCCCCCCCCAATCCTTTTTCCAAGACCCCTGATTCCACCTCACTTATTATCCTGCCCCCCCACCCTTTTGTGCCTCCTTCCCAGCAGCTCCCTTCTCGTTCTTCTTCCTCCCTGATGATTTTCATGAACTTTGGTCCCTCCTTCTCCTGCCTCCTGAGGTTGCAGGGCTTTTCATGCTGTTTCCTCCTGGGCACCTTCGTGTTTCTTCTGAGTAACTCCCGATGAGACCCAACTCCTCCTCCTCTCTTTTCTTTAGTGCAACACTTCTGCATGACTTCAGTCTTTGAACTTGTGGTCTGGGGCAGTGTTTTTTTTAAATTCTCCTTTCCCAGTTATTAAATCGTCGTATCTTTGTTAATTACAGATGGAGATAAGCACAGGTGTGCTCTTCTTTTCTTTTTTGTCAGAGGACCAAATGTCCTGGCTGCTTAGGCATCCCATCGCTCCCTTCCCTTCTCCTCCTCCTCCTTCCACCAGGAAGTTTCCTTGGCATGGAAGCTTTGGCCGGTCTCACCTCTTTCACTTTTCCCCCAGGAAACCGTGTTCCTCTCCAAGGGGAAGTGAAGACCTGGCTTAGGATAGGGTACCAAGAGGTACAAGTCCCGTGGCTTGAAGGGTGCAAGCTCTCATAGCAGCTAAGGTGCACCATCCAAGGAGAAGGAATGAAAGAAGCAGCCAGAACAGACTACATAGTGACAGAGTTGGAAGGACGCTTGGAGGTCTTCTAGCCCCACCCTCTGTTTGAGCAGGAGACCCTCTACCATTCTGGACAAATGGCTGACCAACCTCGTCTTAAAAGGCTCCAGGGATGGAGCCCTGAGCAGAGGACTTTCCAGAAGCCATGTGTCCAGGAACAAATGAGACCCTTTCCCTCTCTTTTTCTCTGCCCATTTGTTTAATGATGCATCTTTTGGCATCTTAAAAAGCCACACGTTAATTTCAGTATAAACCTTTGATGACAAAGGCCATTGGCTATTCTCCAAAAACAACTTGGTATCGTACAGATCTCCTTGAGAGAGGGAACTGAGTAACAAACATATTTGATTTCTCTTAAAAGCCTTTTGCCCTAACTTTACAGCAGGAGCAAAGGTGTACTTAATTTTGCATTGTTCTCTGCTACCACCATAGCCAAATAAATGTTGCTGGTTGTGTGGTCAGATCTTCTTACTGAGCTTTAGAAACTACTTATCTCGGATGTTTTGGGAGAACTTTTAGAAGGCCTGTTTTGGAAGGCTAAATAAATATTTTAATGGACACTGTAATCAGGTGAAATTATTTTGAATTGTTCTATAATTTGGGTTTTGTTTTGTTTACCATCCAAGATAAATAAATGATAAGAGATATAGAAACATAGCCAAAAAAAACCCTACCCTGGAGAGATTTTCAAGTGACTGATTATCAACTGTGTCTCATCATGTTTGCACCATAAATCTTGAGCTCCATAAAGATTCTGTAGGTTGTCTGCAGCAGAAGAGGAGAGCAATGTGGGCATTGTGCTGCAAAGTCCGCTTTTTCCATAACGTAAGAGTAATAATAAGAGCCCGAAAGACCCAGAATCAGCCATCAGCACTTCCAAGTGCTGCAGGCCTCCTCTTCCTCCTCCTTTTTTACATCAAACCTGTCGCTCTCCCGGCAGAGGCCGGATTTAGCCAGACCGGCTGTCAGTGACTCCAAAGTCCAAAAGAGCTCGATATAAGACTGCACCCCAAGCAGGCTGCAGCTGGTCTAAAGTCTTGGGGGCCGTAAAGGAGTCGTTGCCCCCATGAGTCTTAATTGGGAATCATTTGGAAGTGGGGCAGAAGAGGAGTGGAACAGAGCTGCCTTTTTGCCCCAGTCAGAATTCTAGCAATAGCCTTTTGTTCCAGGGGACCGATTTAGAGAGCTACCATTGAATAGATCGTTGTAGAATGCCACCACCTAGTATACCTTTAATTCAGTTAAGTACAGAAGGTTTGCCATGATACACCTACCTAGGAGTTGATAACCCATGGGGCAAAGGATCCGTTGCCATTTTGCAAGCAACCCTAAAACGTTTGTTGAAGACAGTGGATCAACCTGGAAAGAGTTCTCAAGTATGGGTCCTCTCCAGAGGGTAACCAGGGCAGAGGCCAATCTGAACATCACGCCTCATGAGAAAAGGCAAACTATGTTTAACCTGAAGACTGAGAGAACTTGCCACAAATATTTCAAGGGCTGTTCCCTAGGATGCGGAGCAGGAATATCTGTTTCTGAGCAGAAACAGAAACGCAGACTTTGGCTGCAAATTCCTTTTGACAGTGCAAACCCTCCCTAGTAAATTGGAGCTGTCCTTTGTCCTAGAGATGGACTGAGTGGCTGCACCTGCTTGGGAATGTTTTCTGATCCATTATCCCTTACATCAAATAGACTAGATGATCTCCAAATACTTTCAAGCCAATATGTACTTACTGCAGGCTTCTTTTCTGTCTTGTTCCCTCAACTGGCTCCTTTGTCCCCCTCATATCCTGTTTGAACTTCCACCCATAGAGGGATGCTGTTATGGCTTTGCTTCCACTTAGCCATTCTAGTTGTGTCCAGGTTTCTCTGTACCTATTTCCTTCTCTAGCCCTCCATACCTTAAAATATTTTTAAAAAATCTGCCACTTTCGTACTATATTCTTTCTTCCAGCCCAAGGCTGCCTTGAATTTTCCAAGAGGCAGATTAGAAGTATGAATATGCTGATGGGTGTATTTGGTAAGGCGGTTTCAGAGCTGTGCTTTTCTGAAGTAGTGAAGGCGAAGACAATTAGGGCACTAATAAAAGGACCGGATGCACCTTGTGATTTCGTCCTCCATGTCAGAGTTGGAGAAAGAAAGAGACGGTCACGTGTTAATTCAGAGAACTGGCCAGGCCAGGCCAGCCTAGCCCAAATTTCCTGCTGGCATTTTAAGCTGAGAGTTAAAGGAGAAAGAAACACCTGGATCCTTCCAATTGAGGGGTGGGAGTCGTGGGAAGTGCCCAAAGTTCAGGGCTGCCGTTTTTGGGGCTGCCTCTGTGACCAGGCAAGCTAATGTAACCTTACCAAAGCTGGTACTATATGCTGAGCACCGGCTTCCAGGGCCACCTGGGGGTGTTACTCAGAATATTCTGTGTCACCAGCCCAGCCAGATGGATAATGTCACCAAAACGGACAATGGCAGTACTAGAGCAGCCTCCCTCGGAAAGGTGGGAGTTAATATTACAGTTAGTCTTCCCCCAAATAAGGCCGATCCTCCATTCTGATTTTTCTTACCTGAGATTTCTGCATGAGGATACCTCGATACCTCGGATACCTCTTTCAGCCCTTCTGTAGCCCAGCTTGTGGGGTTTGTCCTCTGCTGTGTACAGAGGTGGTGGGGCCTGCTGAGCCTCTTCCTTGAGGCCTAGCAATGAGCCACGCTCTCCCAACAGGAGCAGAGGCATGGCAGCCCAAACCTCTCGCTTCCAGCCTTTGCTCAGCCGCTGGAAGTCAGCCTGCTTCTGACGGGCCTCTGCCAGAGGGGTCTTTGGGGGCAGGTGCATCACATAGGTGCACCTTGTCCAGTATTCCCAGAAATGGTGGGGAGGCACATCACTCGTTCACTCCAATCATTTTTGCTTTCCTTGATTAAAACCCCTTCAGTCTGATGCGATTTGTGTATTGATTGATGCCTTTGGTGTACATGTGTGTTTTTCATTGCAACAAAATCACCCCACCCCACTTGTTCCAGCTTGTTCCTCTGATCTGTTAATGACAAATTTCACTGTAATTTTTTTTTAAGGTAAGCAAAAGTACCTCTGTGCCAGCCGAAATGACTGCACCATTGACAAATTCCGAAGGAAAAACTGTCCCTCCTGTCGCCTGAGAAAATGCTACGAAGCAGGGATGACCCTCGGAGGTAAGTCCCGCCACATTTGGCGTCTGGTGGGTTCACCAAAACGATGCTCTGCTCTTTGGATGTCCCAGAACCAGTGAAGCCGAAACTCCCCCATAAAATCACAGGGGAAAGGAAGAAGGTTTATGTCAAGAGTGTATGAGTTTAGAGCCATTCACCGATGAGCTCTTGAGACAGTCACAGCTTCTATCAGACGAGTCAGTGAAACAGATCTTCTATGTCGGGGGTGTCCAACCTTGGCAACTTTAAGATTTGTGGACTTCAACTTCCAGAATTCCTCAATTAGCCATGCTGGCTGGGGAATTCTGGGAGCTGAAGTCCACAAGTCTTAAAGTTGCCACGGTTGGACACCTCTGTTCTATGTCTTCATGCAGGAAACAATCCCAGCAGATGAAACTCAAACAAACCTGAGCGTATTACAAAGGCAGGTGTCCATATTCCCCAGCCAAGGGACAAAAAGTTGCTGGAAGAGACATTGCTTTGAGAAATGAGGAGGCAAAAAAAAAAAAAAGACTGCCTTTAAGAGTAAACTTGCAGTTAGCAATGGTGAAGACTGGGCAAAATAAGGACAAAGAACACAGCATGCATACCTGTCTACCTTTGTATTTTAATAGTATCTCCTTGTAAACTTGTTGTCTAAGATAAGCAGTCTCCGTTGCTATTTCCTGTGTTCAAGCCCCTGTTTATCTTGGCTGCCCTTTTCTCCAAGCGGTCTGATACCCTTCTTGAGGTGTGATGAGAACATATGAAGCCTCTTTGGATGGGCTCAGATCAATATTAGATTAGAATAACTTTATTCTCACGTTGAATATACACTAATCAGCATACATTAAAATGAAGTTTCATTGCATGCAGCTCTCAAAGGATCTCCACCTCTAATATATACTACATAAACGTGACTATATAATTAATGCAAAATTATGCATATATTATATGACACAGAGAAACAACACAGTCTAATCTGGATGTATACATGTACATGGCATGAGAAACTAATCTTGTGAGTTTACCAGATGGCCTAGGGATCAAAGCTGTTCCAGAATCTGGTAGTCCTGCTAGAAATACTTTGAAACCTCCTCCCAGAGGGGAGCAACAGAAACAGACCATGAAGTGGGTGTGGGGTCTCTAATAATGCTTCGAGCTCTAAGCTCATAATGCTTATAAGCAGTATCCTGAATAACAGGAAGCGAGCTTCCTATAATCTTGGTTGTCCTCACCACTCTCTGTATGGACTTTCTATCTGAGGCTCTGCTGCCACTAAACCAAACGGTGATGCAGTTTGTTCAAATGCTGTCAATCATGCCTCTGTAAAAAGTGGCCAGGACAGAAGGAGAGAGATGTGCTCTCCTCATCCGACGCAGGAAATGCAGGCGCCAGTTTGCAAATGCTTCACTAAGGATGATGTGTGAGGAGACCACTTCAGATTGTTTGCTATCTGTACCCCCAGATACCCCTTAATACTTAATACTCTATGGCTGCAGCCTTGCTACTGAGTGGACTATGACTATGCGGCTCTTTCTAAAACCTTGTGTACCTCCAATATTCTGACCTTGGAGGTCTCCTAGCCAAACTGCCTGCCCAGTGCAGAAGACCTTTTCCATTCTGGATAAATGATTGTCTAAAAATAGTTGTCTATCTCTAAACCAATCTAGAAAAGGCTACATACAAAAAAAGTATGTGGATTAAAAAAGGCTAATTAGACAGCAAGCTATAGAGGAAAAATTTGCTGTGAGGGACCCCTGGACCCAGTACTGCTTTTACCAAACACACCCACATACCCACAACCCAGAATGGACTATCAACTTAATCTCATGATTATTTTAAGTTTCACCTGAAGAAGCAATACTACCCTAGTAAGCAACCTGTACTCCTGGGAAGATCACTTTTTAATAAAGTGAATTATTACCCAGTTGAGTGCTCAGCACCCCAGGGTCCAGCCCTATGGTTCCTTGCTTCTGACAGGAGGCCTTTCCCAGATTCAGGGCCATCACTCCGGCCTGTGTTGGTAGAAATGCTGACCTCACTTCCCAGCTGTAGAAATGCTGCCTCTCCCAAACTCCTCTGTATGCAATTCTAGGCTTCCATCTTGCCTCACCGATGCCTGGAGGTTAACATAAAACATGGAGTGATGCAACAGTTTTTATTTCTTTTAATTTAATTTAATTAATACCATCTTGTAAACTGCAAGGCAGTTGATCTTAACTCTTTCCAGTTCCCCTCTGTTTCTTTAGCATTTACTTTACTCCTGAGTAACTCTAGGCTCTGCCTGGAGGTGCTTAGAGGAGGCCGTATGTTGATTAAATTTAAAATTTGTTGCTGATTGTGTCCCACATTAGTGCAGTTATGATTTCTGAAGCATTTCATACTTTGGGCCATTAGGTGCTGGAGTAAAATTGAGATGAGTTTAGCCAATTTCACTTTGTAGCCTAAGTATTTATTTCATCTATTTATTTTACTTCAGTAGTCTTATATGCCACTTGAGTCATGCCTGATGCAACAGCAGCTTACTGACCTCCTAAAACAGTAATAAGGTTAAGAACATAACAGTAGAATAAAATAACCCTGTCTCTAATGTATTTCGTCGATCATATTCTGTGCTCCAAGGAACAACTGTAACACTTCCAGATATATTAAAACGATTCCTTCAGCCCAAAGTCTTGCTGGAATAGTCCAGCCGTAATGGAATTGCAAACAGGAACGGGGCCAGCCTGACATTAACAAGGGGGCAGTGAACAAGAGGCTGCAACCTCAGAAACCCTGCAAGAGATCTTCCCAAACGATGGGATCTAGAGGGAGCCTTCTCTTGGGTAGAGACTGTTGGGAGAATGTGATCCCACTGATAATTGGGATCCGACAGGAAGACCTTTCCACCCTGTAGGAAAGGTCCACCTCATTCATCTATCAGTTTTTTGAGGGTGATAATAAACATATGGATGAGGGCAAGCCAGTAGATAGCATCTTCCTAGATTTCAAAAGCCGTTGATAAAAGTTGCTCATCAAAGACTTCTTAATAAGGAGAACAGCCATGGAATGAAAGCAGATGGTTTTGCAGATCAAGACCTGGCTAAAGAATAGGAATCCTGCGATCTCGTCCTAGGACAGGTGCTTTTTAACACATTTATAAGTGATCTGGAACCCGACATGGCTAATGGAATAGCCAGCTTTGCTAATGACACTAAGTTGTTCAGGGTAGTAATGACAGTAGAGCATCTCTGCGCATTAGAGGTGTTGAAATGGCAGGTGCCATTCAATGTGGGCAAGGGTAAAGTGATGTACATTGGTACCCAAAATCTTAAGTGCTCATAGAAATTAATAGGACCAACCAACAATGGCTGATGGGGAAAGTGACCTTGGAGCAATGATCGAGAGATGAAGGGAGGGGCTGGCACAGTCAGCATTTACTGTTAAAAATAAAAAGCCAACGGCATGCTGGGAGCAATAAGAAAGCAGAGACGGCAATATCATAATGTTCTTCTATGAATCAGTGGCATGACCAGATCTGGAATATTGTGTGCAGTTCTGGTAGCCGCTCCTTAAAAAGGAGATAATAGAGCTAGTGAAGGTTCAGAGGAGGACAAGTAAGAGGACGGAGGGGTTGGAGCAGCTTCCTTAGGAAGGAGGCGAATGAAAGGAGACGTGATTGAAATATACAGCACTGGACCTGCGGAGGATTAAATGGGCACACAGAAGCTGATTTTCTCTTTCCCCAAACGCTAGGCCTAGAGGTCCATTCGGTGAAATTGAATCCAGGGAGGATCAGGACAGCCAAGGACCCCCTTTTCCCCCCCACAATGCATAATTAAACTTTGAAATTCACTATTATGAGATGTTGTACTGGCTCCCAGCTTAGCTGGCTTGAAATATGGGTTGGACCAATTTATGGAGTTCATCGGGATTAATGATTATTAGTCTTGATGAAATGCAGCTAATGGAATAGCAGGGAGATTCGTGGCCTCCCTTACACGCTTGTTTGAGCACTGTGGGAACAACCTGCTGGACTACATCAGTTAAGGGCCTGATTCAGCAACGTCCTGAGGAGAAGGGTGACTGACGAGCCTGCCCACCAGTTGTTGGGTTTTTTTGTCAAGCATCTCTCCAAAAAACAGTCCATGGGTTAGTGGGGTAGCTGACAGGCTAGGATGAAGGGGCAGGGAACTTTCTCCGTTTGCTAGGTGAACATCTTCTCAGCTCACACGTCCCCTCCCCCACCACTGGGCTGGACTGTTCTAGAACACTTTTCTGACTTCAGTCTTCTGGAAAACTGGTAAGCCTGTTTCAAAACAGAAGTCCACCGATCTTCTCAAAATAGCCCATATTCAAGGATGGAGTATATTCCAGAGCATTAATGCTGAGCCAGACAGTAGTACTTCAGGAGTGTCGTGTGTGTGTGTGTGTGTGTGTGTGTTTAGGTTTATTAACTGTGTAGCTGTATCCAGAGCAAAATGTGAGCAATCTTTACTTAGTAGATGCGACCTATTCAACATGTCAAATTAAGGAATCCCCTTTCCAGTTGATCAGCGTGACCCTCAAATTGTGGGTTATGGAAATCTCTCCCTTTATGAATTAAGGAAATAAAGGCCCTGTTCCTTGATGGAGGAAGTTCTTCACATAGTTCAATCTCATTCATTACTTGAATTCAAGGTTCAGTTGGATTTCTTAATGAGTCTTGTAATATCCTGCAGAAATACCACTGGGTTCGGGGGGTGGATGGGTGGGGGTCATTGTAAACGTTTTAATTGCTTCTTTAGTTTTGTCTTATGTTATGGTTCAATTAAAAGTCTCCTTTTGCATAGAAAGTAGACTGCAGCGCAATCATTTTAAAACTGACATTTGTCAGTTACACTGTCATACTGTCTATCCCATTTTTTTTAGCTTACCAAGAAATAGGCTGTAGTCTCCTTTGTCAAATGCTTTATTGAAATCCAAGTATGCATTTCACTGGTCCGCTGATTTTGTCAAAGAATGAAATAGAATTTGTTTAGCATGATCTGTTTCTGACAAAC